AGAGACGGACTCTCGCTACTTGTCAACTGAGTGAGTTGACGCCCCGTTTCCATGGTAACTCCTTAAGCTCCAGTTTAAATGCGATTTGAATGCTCAACTCGCGCGCCCATTAAAACACATCAAAGTTACGAATTTACATAAATAGTACATAAAAGTCCAATAAAATGTCCTGAAACTTCATCATGTATTGTTTAAGTGGATAGTAGGCCAATCAAACTGTAAATTAAATGAGAATATGAAAGCAGTGAATAATGCCAAACATTGTTTGAAGTCAGTTTTTATATATATATATATATAAAACCAGTGTTGGGGAAAGTTACTTTTAAAAGTAATGCATTACAATATTGCGTTACTCCATAAAAAAGTAACTAATTACGTTACTTAGTTACTTTTTATGGAAAGTATTGTGTTACGTTACTTTTGCGTTACTTTTTAAATCTGGACAGGGCTTGCTTGTTTGTTTTTTAAATAAAAAATCATATTTTTGGCAAATATAAAAGCCTTTTCACACCAACATTGAAATGAATAAGACTCAGGCTGAAGGGAAAGTAAATTTACGTCCGTACAGTTGAATGCAGAAGAAGAAATTTCAACACAGTTCAGCAACAAAAAAAGACACACAAATGTTTGTCTAGAGTATTTTTGCTTATTAGTACGGTTGAACTGGATCATCGAAGGTCAGAAGCAAAGTTTTCAAATGACTTATTTAATCTGATAGTATGTGTGTATTTATTTATTCATCTAACCTACATGCTCTATTGAATATGTTTGCAGGAATTTCCCTCATTATAAACTTGAAAGCAGATTAAACATAATTCTATTATACAGAGTGTTATAAACTCACTATTTATATCGGATCAAACCACACAGACGCCTGATTGAACTTGCCATCCACTTTTACTACCACCTCTTACGTGATGACATCACACCAATACACAACATCCCCCCTCTACTTGAATATGAATTTACCCTATCTAACACATTCTCATCTTCTTACAACTCACAGATTTCAGAACATTCAAGACATGTAACAACTTCTTTTTTTCTTCTTATCAGCTCTTCACGACTTCATAGAACATCCCCAATGCTTTTAAAACAAATACATTGAACCATGACATAACTCATTTGGGACCTTTTTTTTTTTTTTACTAACATAGCTTTTAAGGTCCTTGGAACAACTTAAACTTAAATGTCCTCTTTTTTTCAGCATTTGAATCTCATTAGTCACTCAATAACATAGTCTCTAAGTCTTTCAGGCAATTTGATTTGTCGCTGAGGCCTGCACGGTTTAGGAGTTTGTTCCTCTTCCTGAATTGTTTCACAGTTCATTTTGCATTCCTCTGCTGTTCCTTTTTGTTGCTCATCTGAATTTGGCTTTTGAGCACATTTCATATCACGATTCACTGTTGGTGTTTCCATTGAATGAAACTTCTTGACGAATGTTGTGTTCCGAGCATATTTCGCTCCAGTGGGTTACTGAACAATACTGTTACCTTCTCTGTGTATGACTTTGTGAGGTGTACTGTGCAATGTTGTTGTGAACTTGTCTGTTTTGTCTTGCCTCACAAGCTCTTGATCCCCAACCTCTATGTCAGATGTCTTTGCATTCCGTCTGTTGTCTGTGTATATTTTGGCTTTTCCTTTTTGCTCTGTGTCCCTGTCTCGAGCTTCCAGGTCACTGTGGGTTGTTGCAATGTCTGGTAACTTTCCTCTTACCTTCCTCTGAAAAAGAAGTTCTACTGGGCTTTTGCCCGTTGTGGAGTGTTGTATGGCTCTGTAGACAGTCACATACTTGCGTAGCTCTTTTCTCCAGTCCTGGCCTTCAGCTTGGGCAATTTGTACTTACTTCATAAGTGATGCATTTTGTCTTTCCACTTCATTTGCTTCACTTCACTTCACCCATTTGCTTGCGCCCACTTTGGGGTTGTTTTAATGTGGTGGATTCCATTTTCCTGACAAATGTTTGAAACTGACTGGACTTGAATTGTAGCCCACAATCTGACCTGATTGTTAAGGGAAGTCCATGCCGACTGAAAATGTCCTTCAAACTGTCAATCACTTTTTCTGCAGTTGTGGATTTGAGGATCACATATTCGTAGTACCTACTGTAATAGTCCAGGATTGAATGTCCATCAGGTAAAGGACCAAGAAAGTCTGTGGCCAAGTTTTGCCAGGGCCCTTCAGGCATCACTGTGGGGGACAGCGGTTCTGGAACATCTAGTTAGCCACCAAACCTTTGTTCTCAGGTGTTGTTTTGTTCCTATTACACCAAGATGACCTTCATGAGCCAACTGTAACGCTCTTCCTCGCAGCGACTGTGGCAAAACAATTCTTGTCCCTCTGAGTATTATTTGTCCAACAACACATAGCTCACCTGCAATATGTCTGTATGCAGGGCAGTCATCAAAACAGTCTGTTTGAATGGCAGTTTTCAGTCTCTGTAATTCCACATCATTTGCTGAGATCTGCTCAACTTCCTTGGTGGTCAGGGTCAGCATCCATCTTTGACGCGCGCCGTCTATCTCGAAGCTAAACTTTTTAATTAGCTGAAATAAACTCCTCAAAGTGACGCACAAATATTTGAAATGGATTTTAAATGTGGGTCAAGATCGGCCATACTTATCCATAATCTATATTTGACATCTGGGCCAAATACTACACTTGACATCTGGCCCATGTCTTGTGTGCCGTCTTAAACCCGGTACCATCTCTGCCAAACCCGCGCCATGTTTGGCCCACATGCTGTATGCCAGTGCCGGATGAATGCCAGCTGTGACAGATGCATGCCAAATCTGGGCCAAATTTATTTTCTGACTGGGACCATTACACCAACGGGGACTTTAATGACATTGCACATTTAATGACATTTAATGGCATAGCCCAACCCTTCAAAAAAAGCTGAATACCAATATACCTCCCTCACCGATCTTTAAAGTTGGCACAATGCAGTCAGGCAGGTTACATTCTCCTGGTATCTGCCAAACCCTCAGCTGGAACTCTTCAGATATGAATCCGAGCGCTGGCTCGAAGCATCATGTGCTTCAGTGCCTCAGCTCTCAGTAACCTACTTTGTGAATTTACGGTCTTCCACTTCATCACTGAGTTGCTGCTGTTCCTAAAGGCTTCTACTTTCCATTAATACCACTTACAGCTGACTGTGGAATGTTTAGCAGGGATGAAATTTCACAAACTGACTTACTGCAAAGGTGGCATCTGATCACAGTACCACATTTTAATTCACTGAGCTCTTCAGAATATATATATATATATATATATTATATTTTTTTTTTTCAAAAAATGTTTTAAATGCTGACTACATGGCAGGTGCTTGATGTTATACACCTGTGAAAATTGAGTCACCAATAATTAGTTGTGTCCCAACACTTTTGTTCAATAAGTTTCTTTCAGGCTATCTGGTTGTCATCCAAAACCAGTCTGTCAGTATTCTGATAATTACATTTATCCAAAAATGATTTTTATGATGCATTCAAGGTAGGCCTACTTGATGTTAAGCAAACAAAGAATGACCTTGACACTGCCAACATTATTCTATACTTTTTGCTTTTAGATAATACAAGACAGGAGGAGGAGTTTGCCTGTATGTAAATCAAAGGTACTGTAAGAACGCCATTGTGAGAGAAAGACTGTGTACTCAAGATGTTGAATTACTGTCTGTATCGTTACGCCTTTCATACCTGCCACGTCAGTTTCCTTAAATATTTGTTACTGTTGTCTATATTCATCCGAGGGCAAACAGTGCTAAAGCTTCAGAAAGTATACTACAAGTAACCATTTCATTTCTCCCGATGCACCAATGTTAATTATGGGTGATTTTAACCATTGTTTGTTGAATAAGACCTTGAAAGACTTTTACCAATATGTCACATGTCCAACCAGACATGACAGGACTCTAGATTTATGTTATGGTTCTATAAAGGATGCATATAAATCTCTTCCTCTTCCCCCGCTAGGAGGGGCTGACCATAATTATATTCAACTTGTCCCATTATATCGTACAGCCCTAAGGAGGGGGAACATTTTAATCAGACAGTCTAAGAACTGAACTGAAGATTCCATCTCGACTCTACAAGGGGGTTATGAATGCACTGATTGGGAAATGTTTAAAGAGTCATGTGCTGACATAGATGAACTTACTGATGTTGTTAGCTGTTATGTGTCCTATTGTGTTGATAACATTATTCCCGAAAGGTCTGTAAAGGTGTACCCAAATAACAAACCATGGATAACTAAATCACTCAAGGTGCTGCTTAAAGAAAGACAGCATTCATTTCAGAAAGGAAATCTTTCTGAGCTGAATCAGTTAAAAAAGCAAGTGAAATTGGAGATAAATAAGGCAAAGCTGCATTATAAAGAGAAAATAGAACGGGAGTTAAGAAATAGTAATTTGGGTTCAGTCTGGGATGGCATGAAAACCATAGTTGGGACAAAGCCTAAAAGAGATTCTAATATAGTACTGGAAGGGTATAGAGATGATTTTCAGCTTGCACAAGCATTCAATGAATTTTTTGCAAGGTTTGATACTCATGATTTTGAGAATATTCTTTGTGAGCAGAAAAATAATTCAATTGGTAATAGACCTATCCCGTTTGAAGAACAGGATGTTATTAACATGTTTAAACATTCAAAAGCTGGGAAAAGCTTGGGCCCTGATAATATTGAAGGTTGGCTGCTTATCTCCTGTGCAGAGCAATTGGGAACTATTTATTATTTTATTTTTCAACTGTCCCTTATTCAACAGAAGGTGCCGAGATTATGGAAATCCTCTACAGTCATCCCAGTGGCTAAAAATAATCATCCAGTAGAACTAAAAGATTTTAGGTCAGTTGCGCTGACCTCTTTAGTAATGAAACGTTTTGAGAGATTGTTGAAAAAAAGAGCTCCTTACAATGGTAGAAGATTCTCTCGATCCTCTTCAGTTTGCTTATAGGGCCAGGTGTAGGGTAGAGGATGCTACGGCCACCTTGTTGAATTTGGTACTTAAGCATTTAGAGGGAACTAAGACTAATGCTAGAATTTTATTTGTTGATTTCTCATCTGCTTTTAATATGATTCAACCTCACATTTTAGTAGAGAAATTAACTTTTGAGCTTTGGTTTTGATTTTTGTATCATTGGTTGAATCCTTGACCTTCTAACTGATCCAATTCAGAGAGTAAGGGTAAATGGGTGTTTGTCTGAGGTACTGTCTTCATCCACAGGGTCCCCTCAGGGATGTGTGCTTTCTCCACTCCTGTATATTTTATACACTGACGATCGCAGGAGTAGGCATGAGAATAGATTTATTGTAAAATATGCAGATGATTCAGCTATTGTCAGCCTCCTCCATGCGGATGAAAATGACCATGGCCTCGTGGTAGATGATTTTGTTCAGTGGTGTGATAATGCATTCCTGCAAATAAATGTGTTAAAAACTAAAGACATGCATATTGATTTTAGGCGTAATCAAAGTGGTATAAAGAGAACCACTATTAAAGATCAGGAGGTTGAGTTTGTGGAATCATATAAGTATTTGGGATGTGTGATTGATAACAAGCTGAATTTGAATGTCAATGTGGAGAAGATTTGTAAAAGGGGCCTGCAACGTCTGTCTATGGAGACTGTCCAAATTTTACGTTAATAGATTCCTGATGACTCTTATATTGAGTCTGTTTTAGCATTTGCTATGTTATGCTGGTATGGCAGTCTAAGGCAAAGACTGCACTGGTGAAAATTGTTAACACTAGCAGTAAGATTTTAGGAGTTCAGCAGAGTCATCCTACCGACCTACATAATCGCCAGGTAGTTAGAAAAGCACAATCCATCTTAATGGTTACTTCCCATCCTCTCTACTTTGAGTTTGTTTTTACCCTCAGGATCTCGGTTAAGATTTCCTTCTGTTAGGAGTAACAGGTACAAACATTCATTTATTCCTACTTCTATCTCTTTGCTAAATTTGGGCATGTGGGTGGAAGTATAGGTGGAAGCAGGTAGTTGTTTTGTCTTGTGTGGTCCTGTGTTTTTTTTAATGTACTTTTTTATGTATTGTAAATTGTCTTTTTTGTATGCTGGTCTTGCTGTAAAACCAATTGCCCCTAGCGAAAGAAAAGACAGAAAGAAAGACACAGACTTAGTCATAATAAAATGTATTTAAATCATTTAAGTGTTAAACAGTTTAATTAAAACAGCTTAATCTTACAGATTTTCCCCCAAGGACAAAGTTCATGTACAATGTTAGCCAAGACAATTTTGTTATAATTACATTGACCTATTTAGCAGATGTTTTTATACATCACAAGCAATAATTCATAGAAGCAAACAATGTGTGCGGTGTGTTAAGTTAAACATTAAGTTTAAAGTAGAAAGCTAGATTAGTACAGAATCTACAGCAGAAGAGAAAGATTATTATTATTATGTATTAAAAACAGATTTATACTGCCCATGTTTGTGGTTGTAGATTATATAAATGTTATGTTTGATTTTATGAATCCTTACATTTTCTGAAGGGCCTTTTGGGGCATTTACGCAGTGCAGTTGCCGATTAACCTGGCAACTGAGCTCACGGCAGTTCCCACGATGCCTCCGCTTGCGACAGCACCTGATTTTTGAAAACAAAAACGAGTTTGAACCGGTTTTGATCACACATGTTTCCAGAGCTACCATAGCAAATAAAAAACCTCATATGAAACAGACACTGCTGCTATAAAGCATTTTACTTAGTTGGATAGGCAGATGTTCAACTTAAAACCAAAGCTTTTGCCAGTGTTAGACAGCACTTATACAGTGAAGAGAATTAAACCTTAATTATAATGAAAAATAAAACTAAAAAACAAAAACCAAATCAGTACTCAAAAGAGAATAATGGATTCACCTGTGGCTCCTGCACTGCATATCAATGGTCCACCCACAGCTGCACCCACAGTGGCACCTATGGCACCTATGGCAGCCTGAGCTGCAACAGGGATTCCAGCCGCACCTGATAAAACGAATGAAATTATTTAAAAACCAGTCATTCAAAATGAGATTTCCACAACAGAATTCATACATGAATGCAGGGCCTTCACTTGAATTCACAGATCCTGAATAATTCAATATAGAGTGGATTTTCGTGAAGTAAGTTACCTAATGTCTTTAATGTGCACAATTCATTACAAATGTATGCAGCATTAGCCTAAATAAAATTTGTTTTGTATTTTATAACACATAGTTTTATCTCTTTAAAGTCCAGCAGAAATATAATGTTATTTATTTCAATATAGGCCTACCAATAAACGTATAAACAAATGTCTTTTCAGATAAAGTGGGCCATCTCTGATTTATCAAAAATGATATCCTGTATTCTAATTATAAATTATTAACCCACATTGTTTATTATTACGTTAAACAAACATATTTAGCAACATATGTAACAAACCCCAAAACATATAGCCTATTAATTTATAAGTTAACTCAATTCATGTGTAAAATTCAAAACGGATAATATTTGCTTACATTTACCTTACTACCTTTTTATAATTAGGTGTGGCCACAGTCACCAGTGTCATTCCATCAGCCAAAACTATTTGAGCATTTAAAGAAATAGTGTCCCTTTAATTAAGTAGGCTACTATAGACCAATTATAGGTTTGTAAACATTCAGGATGCGCGCGCATCATGGTTGCCGAAAACCCGGGAGAGATAGCCTTTATGGCTAGAGAATTTCACGGATAGGGTACAAAATAGTTAGGTTTAAAAAGATTATAAATTATATTGATTAGATGTCATTTTCAAAATGTTCTCGGCATATTACAAGAGCTTGTCACCCAGCGATAAGCACCGTTATTCAACGAAATTGACGTTAGGGAGTGCGATAGTCTTACAGATCCGAAACAGGGATGACGGTTGTTGTGGGCGGAGCCTATCTGGAGGCAGAAAATGAGGGTTTTCAAGCGGCAGTCTATGGAGCCATGGAATAAAAGAATAATAAAAGGTAAATTTGATTTTATATTTCAAAATTCTGACTTTATTCTCGCAATTCCGAGATTATATCTCACAATTCTA